CTGCAGACCGTGGCGCTCACGGCCGCGCATGCGCACGGCGGCGGCTCCCAGCCCAACCTGGCGCTCGAGGCCCTGGCCTTCGACGGCGCCCCCGTGCGCCTGGACAAGTACCGGAACTCGGACTTCGCCCATCTCATTCCCTTGACCATGCTGTACCCCAAGAGCCACTTGGACGTCACATTCCACCCTCCCCGGCCTCAGACTGCGCCCCCCCGCCTCCCCTCCCCGAAACACTCCTTCCTCGCCTACCTGGGGCTCCGAGAGCGAGCGGAGACGGTGTGAGGGCAGCGCCGCAGAGACCGGGAGGCAGACCCGCGACCCGCCCCGCCCGCCGTGTCTCGGCTGCGGGCCGGGGTGTCAGGGGGACCCCGTGTACTGTGATGCCCCGAAAGCTGCTTCGTCCGGTCTTGGAGGGGACCCGCAGAGGCATGCCCGCCCCGCACTCTGTCTGGGAAGAGTCTTGCATGGTGAAGCCCCAAAGACAGCAGCGTCCTCCACTAGCGACCGGCACCAGACCACTCGTGCGCAGGCGCGTGCGGCCCCGGTCCGCGCGTGCGCAGACGCGTGCGGCCCCGGTCCGCGCGTGCGGCATGGCGTGGGGTGAAGCCGGGCGTCCGTGTGTGGCCCGAGCCGCGGCGTGCTGTTGCGCTCTCTACTGGCTCCTCCACAGGCTCCCCCACGCTCCTCCGTCACCGTCCCCCCCCCCCCACTCTTATTTTTCTGGTTACAGAGTTGGTAGAGCCTGGTGTCTGAGTGAAAGAATGATGGACATGCGCAGAGCCGCTTGGGATGTCCCACCCGGGAGGGGCCCCCAGACAGATCGCTGGTTATTAAGGTGCGAGGGATCACGTGATGGCTCTGCATGCCACGACGCAGCCCTGCAGCTCACGTCACAACACGGAAGTGTTTTGTAGGTGTGCCTACGCGGAGATGAACACACGGTGCACACACACACACACACACACACATCATTTTTAAGGGCAAATTCACATATATATATATATAATATGCCTATTATATATATATATGTGATGCATTGTCAGTGGTTACCATTTGTTTGCAGGAAAGAAAAATTGTATGAGTGGAAATTTTTTATGGTTGAGAAATCCAGCCAAGGAGATTAAAAAATAAAGGGTTTGGATCAATTCTGGGTATAAATGCTCAGACTAAATAAAAAAAAAAAAAAAAGAAATGGCAGTTTTGCACAGTGCTTTGGTCTTGCACTAGTTTTTGTTTCTCATCAGAAGAAAAAAATTGTTTTGGGTTTGTTTTTTTTTTTTTTGGTTTTGTTATTTTTTTTTAACAGGATGAGTAGACTGTATGTTTGAAATTTTAGCCACAACCTCTTTGACACATAAGGACCCAACTAAAAGGTGCTGTTTAGTCCTATGGTTCAGTTTTATGCCCCCGAGAAGTGTCCATTTTGTTTGCAGAGCCTCTGGTGATGGAGATACCCTTCATGTATTAGTAATTCTGTATTCCATTTTGTTAACGCCTGGTAGATGTAGCCTGCTAGGAGGCTAACTTTATACTTATTTAAAGCATTTTGTGGTCATTAAAATGGCAAATTTCTGTCCAGCACTTTATTGCAGCAGGAAGCAGGTGCAGGTCGGTCGCATAGCCCTTTGCTCATCTTAAAAATGGATGATTTAAAACACAAAACAGGAAAAAACATCATTGCTTGCATTTTTAAGACAACAGAATTTCCAGAATGAAACAAGCTGAAGAGCAGGAAGAAATGTGCTTTGTATAATAATGGGAAATTTGGAATATAAACATTTATATATTATTTATCTGTTGAAGAGCTGGTGTGCAGGAGGAATGTGGGTTTTATTGTTTCTGGTTTTGTTTTTGTTTTTTTACTGTGTTGTTTTCCCACGATGTTTTACCTTTGAGTTGGGATTTTCTTTTCCCATATTTCGCCAGGGAGAAATAAAAGCACCCTTCATTTTCTTCCTCTAGTCAGCTTGCTTCACTGAAAGACCTCTGGAAATTAGTATGGATCTACAGAGAGCTGGAAGACTGTACATCTGACCACACGTGGTCTCCCGACTCCCTGCGTGTCCATCTTCACCCCCAGAACTAGCAGATGTGCTACACTTCCCATCGGCAGCCATCCAGTCACGGATGGGGAATCTGCTTCATGCCCTGGCAAGCCAGTTTACACTACAGAGATGCCCATGAGGGCAGGGAGACCAACCAGCTAGGGCAGGAAGCTCCCAAACCCTTCATTCTCCAGCAGAGACCTTTGCTCTTGGCCTTGTTTGAAACACTTCAACTCACCATGTCAGTGTCTCAGTAGAAGACACTATTGACACTTACAGACAACACACTCCAAGAATATTGGGCTTATGGGTGGGCTGTCTTTCTTTTTTTCTTCTTTTTTTTTAAATTCATGTCTGTCCCCATATAATGGAGAATGTGCCACTTGGCTAATGATGTTTTCAAAACAACAAGTTCAGTGATGACAGGAAAGGGGACCATGCTGATCCCACCGAGGTTGGCAGGAAGAGGTGACTCGCATTTAAGCACCAACAGGTTAAAAACCTGAAAGGGTAGCCCTGCCATGGAGGACTTGGGGTTTTATAGCATGCCACTTGTGCAATAAGAGGGCCCCAGTAGGAAACTGGGGAGGAGGTGGTGAGGGAAAGACACGTTTACTGCTCAAATGCCATGCATTTCTCTGCTCACCCCTGAACTTGTATTTGAATGACTTAGTAATGCTTAATATAATTGGGCAACTTTTATAGCACTTTGGAGTCATCAATCTTTCTGGTAAATTATAAAAAGTTTTCTGAGTGAGAAAAAGGTGTGTTTGGAGTTTGTTTGACTTTTTTATATTATTGTTATTAATAAAGGAAAAAAAAAACCTCAACAGCATTTTTCAGACTCCACTTAGATATGTACCCCCTGAATTTGGTTTGCTGTTTGCTACTCAGGGAAGGATGTGGTCGGTAGCTATCCTTTCCGTGTAAAACACTAACATCTTGGAGAAATTCACCTACCAAACTAACTTGGATTGTTTTCACTATGCCTTTTTTCCCATGGAAGCTAGCTTATTTTTCCATATAGTAATGCAGTTAGGGCTCTCGGCACTTTCTTTCTTCTATAT